CAGGTAACAGGCAGAACTGTGCTGGTGTTGCAAGGTAACTCATTTTCCAGACAACAAAAAAACATTAACTTATTGTCGAGTTACTTTTTAAACATTTGGGCTCTTTTTAGAAACAGTTGGAAACACAAAAACGTGCAACATGTGAATTTTTCACAGCAGGTCCCCTTTAAGTATAAGCAACAAAAAATGTATAATATTAATAATTTAAATTTAAGTTACTGAAACGATGTGATTCCCAGACCACAGATGACGAGCCGTCTGAGAAGGATGCTCTGCAGCCGGGCAGGAACCTGGTGGCGGCGGGCTACGCGCTGTACGGCAGCGCCACCATGATCGTTCTCTCCACTGGACAGGGAGTCAACTGCTTCATGCTCGACCCAGTCGGTACTCCTTTAGGGTCTCTCATTTAGATCAACTGTTTATAATAACTGATGGTCTTCTTCACGTTTTGCTCAACAGGCCATCGGTGAATTCATCCTAGTCGAGCATGACGTGAAAATCAAGAAACGGGGGAAGATTTACAGTCTGAATGAAGGCTATGCTAAGTATTTCGATCCGGCTGTCACAGAGTACCTGCAGAGGAAGAAGTTCCCTGAGGTAAAATGAAGGTTTTTTTTAGGAAATATTGGTATTTTCCTCATGTGACCCATGAACACTTCATGTCTTGTAGGACGGCAGTGAGCCGTACGGCGCGCGCTACATCGGATCGATGGTGGCCGACGTCCACCGGACGCTGATGTACGGAGGAATCTTTTTATACCCAGGAAATGTGAAAAGCCCCAAAGGAAAGGTGAGATCCAGCTTTAAACCCAGAGATCTGCACCTAATGAAAAGAGTTACAACTCTTTTAAAGAGGACGAAAAGCCTTAGAATGATTTCTTTATTGTAGCAGCTGAGGATTTCTTTAACTTGAGTCCTCATCTTGCCTTGCTTCTCTGAGGTTCAGTTGATTTATATGTTCCAATCATTTGATATTGTTGCCAGCAGGGTCCCATGGACTTTGTTTTGGTTGTAGATACCCAGAATGCCCTGTGCTGCAGTCCACTTCCTGCCTTTGGAGTGGTCTCCGGTCTGCTTATACGCATTCGAACAACAACCCAGACCTGGGTTTGTAGGCAACAACAATTAGTTTTTGCACAATTTGTCTCGACTCTGACTGGACCAGCATGTCGAGCAGTTCTGTCACAACGTTGTTTCTCCACTCTGCACATCCTTCTTCATTTTTAAAATGCCGAACGGAGCCTGCAGCGAGGGCGGAGGAACTTTAACATTTCTGCTTTAAGCTAGAGCTATTCTTTAACCTTGAAATATGATTACTTCACTTAAAGCCAGCACTTTTCATCATTATTAATAAATTATTAACTTAAACTCATTTTTCTTGCTGAAAAGTTAGTTGAGTTAGTTTTGTCTTATTTGATGTTTACTCAGGTATTTTCATGGACAGTAGACTAAAAACACTTGGTAAGATTTTGTTTTTGCAGTGTAAATAAATCCTGATGCTGATTTAATGGATGTTACAATATTAGATATAAAATAATTTCTCTTTCTTGCTACATCAATGAAATAAAAGTCTTAGTGTGAATTTTCAGATTGAAAGAATGAAAACAATCCAGATATTTGCACCAGCTTAAACTAGTGCAAATATCTTAGTTCACTTGAAATATGACACAACTAAAGTACAAGTAGCTATTAAATAAAAACTTGTTTTAAGTCAATAATTACTTAATATTTATGAAAATGTTCTAGTTATAAGTGAAATAATCTGCCAGTGGAACAAATACTTTTTCCATCAATATTAAGGAATTTGTAACTTAAAACAAACTTCTATTTATTGCAGAAAAGTTCAGTCAGGCTTTTCTTATTGCAGGTGTGATAATAGAAACACTCAGATTTGTTTTTGCAGTGTCGACATGTTTACCATTTCCAGAGAGTCAGTATTGAATAGGAAGCGTTGATCGCTCATTGATCAGGAAGCTAAACTTTCCGTTTGCTCGAAGCTGCGGCTGCTGTATGAGGGAAACCCGATGGCGTTCATCATGGAGCAGGCGGGCGGCATGGCGTCCACCGGCTTCCAGAACATCCTGGACATCCAACCTGAAGGCATCCATCAGCGCGCCCCGGTGGCCATGGGCTCCCCCGACGACGTCCAGGAGTTCATCGCTATCTGCAGAAAACATGCGGCGAAGTGAGGCGGGCGGCGCCGAGTCACTGCACGCACAGACACCTGTGGTGCCTTTCTGTGACCAAAAAGATTTGGGAGATTTTCTCTGTGAAAACGGGTTTTGATGAGTAAAGCTCACGATGTTTGAGATGTTCATAAGCTTCAGGAAAATAAACTGAAATGAAGACTTTACCCTTCAGTTTACAAATAGCTGCCTTAATCAGCAGAAATATGCATTTAAATATGCAAATGACCAAATATAACATATTAACCAAAAGTGATGATTTCATCTTGTGAAATGACAAATGTTTGGAAAAAAATATTTTAAATAAACCAAAGTGATTCTATGAAGATGTAATCAGTGTCGTCATTTTGCAGATTCAAGTTTTCAGTTTCATGATCAGGGGCGTCCAAGAAAACAAACCACTTCGGGATTCATAGATGAACTGACAATTATTACTAATTACAATTATTAATACGAAGACCTTATTTCTCCTGAAACAAACACGTTTCTGCATCATGCGTTTGTTTTTTCTCAGTAAATGTTTCCGCTTCCTGTGAGACGCTCATGAAGTGAAGAGCAAGATAAAGTTTACAAAAGGCAGCTAGCAGAGCAAATAATCTAATTTATTCGAACATGATACAAATATAAAATAAAATAGTGCACAGTAACAAGAAGTGCATAAGAAAGAAGAGAAAGAAAGAAAGTTTACACAAGTCTGGGAGTGAATGATGTGCAAACAATGGAGCAAGACAAAGAAAAAAGAGGTTATGACATACAGCAAAAACCAAATATCTGCTCCAGTTTCTAGTGCAAATATCTTAGTAAACCTGAAATTAGATAAAACTAACTTAGAAATAACTTCTCAGGAAGATACAAGAGCTTTTGAAAATAAACAATTTCTTAATGTCAGGGAAAAAGTACCAGATCCACTGGAAGATAATTTCACCAACAAGGGAAAAAGTTTTCTATAATCTGGCTTATCTTATTTCAAGTATATTAAGACATCCTTGTCCTTTTCTTTACATTGAAAAATGAGCATCAGACGAATGCAATAAATAAAATGTCAAGTTAAACACTTAGCTAAACTATGCAATCATAAAATGAGTTCAGAGTTTCAAAATAAAACAGGAAGTGAAGAAATCAGTGAGCATAAAACTGCAATAAATATGGGGAAGTTACACCATCAAAAACATCAGCAATAATTTGGGTTATTTGTCAAAAAGAGAAAATATGGGTGTTTATTTCTCAAAGTCATATTTTGAGAAAATATGACACTAAAAAAAAACTTTTCTCTTATGTTAATTTGGCTAAATAACCCAAATTATTGCTGCCAGTGTTTGACTGTAACTTTACAGATGTAAAGATCTATTTCTGAAATAAATAAAAGTGGATAAAATGATGCATGAAGGTAAAATGATACTTTATGCTGCAGGAGGCGTCGACCTTTACGCCAAAAGGCTCCAGATGACCTTTAGCTGAAAGGTCAGATGGAGATCTTCAAGCTCTGTGACCTTTAAGCTGAAAGGAGCCGCAGTTTCTGCTCCTTTACCAGAGAAACCAGAGAAAATGTCATTTTGATGATAAAACATTCTGCAGTTTATTCATGAGCAGCTGCTCGTGTTGCATCATCAACGTTTAAATCAGCATTAAATCAGTGAAATCACCGGTTAGCTTGTTGTTTAAACCAGGATGCAGCGGTTCTACTGCGGTTCCTTTCGGATGTCTTGGAGCTGAGCAGCCGACACCCGACACCGCCGGGCCCAGTCGGCTCAGCTCACAAATAGATCCGCCGGCCCGGAATGAGAACCACGCAGCACCAGACCAGGCGGTCCAGTCGCAGCCCGTCCTGCCAGGGCTCCGTCCGGACCTGCTGTCTGCAAGGAAGACCGCCGGATCAGAACCCAGTACCGGTCCAGAACCCAGAGCCGGATCAGAACACAGCACCGGTCCAGAACCCAGCACCGGTCCAGAACCCAGAGCCGGTCCAGAACCCAGAGCCGGTCCAGAACCCAGAGCCGGACCAGAACCCAGAGCCGGATCAGAACCCAGCACCGGTCCAGAACCCAGCACCTGTCCAGAACCCAGAGCCGGTCCAGAACCCAGAGCCGGTCCAGAACCCAGAGCCGGACCAGAACCCAGAGCCGGATCAGAACCCAGCACCGGTCCAGAACCCAGCATGTCGGACCAGTCTGCCTTTGACACGGACGTCTGGACCCTGACCCGGTTCATCATCGAGACGGGCCGGCAGGCGAAAGGAGCCACCGGGGAGCTGACCCAGCTGCTCACCGCCATGCTGACCGCCATCAAAGCCATTTCCTCCGCGGTGCGGAAGGCCGGCCTCGCCCACCTGTGAGTTCACACCTGTCTGGAAGAAACAGCAGTAAATCCAAACCAACAAACTCAGAAATGTTCAGATTAATCCCAGAAATTTTCTATAAAAAAGAAGGAAATTTCTGAGATTGAAAATTTTTACATTTGCTATGAAAACAAGAAAACTTTTAGATACTGTTACAGGAAAACCGTTTACCCACAATGCTAACTAGCCTTAGCATTCAGAACAGGAGAAACTGTAGCAGGTGAGCAGGCCAAGGGAGTGATTGACAGCGCTAAGACCCGCCCCCTGGCTCTGATTGGATATTTCTACTTAGCATTGGGAGGAGACAGAGAAACTCAACTTTTTTACAGATTATTCATCTTATATACAAAAGCTGCATGGCAGCAGTCAGAGCTGAGTCCTCTGAAGGACCAAATGTTCATTTTATTTTCCTGCCAGTCGACTCAGGAGTCGACCTCCGTCTCCTCCTGGTTTAACATTTCCTAGCAGTCCTGTTGTAACGCTGCGGAGCAGAAGCTCTGTTTGGTTATGATTCAGTTTATCTGCGTTATCTTGCAGAAATAAAACATTACACACGACTGGTCAACGTTCGGAGTCGCTGCAAATTGATGCAATAACTTTCTTTGTTTGGGGTCTGATGGACACACAGCCAGGATTTCAGTAGTGTAAGTTTTACAGGGTTTCCTAAAGGTCAGCCTGACCCAAATGTTTAGGATGGTGCAGAAATTCAAGATTAAATTACCTGAAATATACCAGGCCAGTTGCTGAGTCCTCTTTACTTCTTCTAACATTGAGTCCAGTCATTTGGTTGTATTTTCCTCTAACTGAGAGGTTCTAATGTTTTTGTAAACAATGTTTCTTCAGTACTTTTTAAATTTGTACAATGTTCTGCAGTTTCTTCTTTTTCTTCCTCATTCTCCATGCTTCATCTTTTCCGAACCTGAATCACTCAATGAAGGCAATTATTTCTTTCATAAAATATGATGTGGAAGCAATACAAAAATATATTTATATAAAATGTGATCAGAAAAATAGCCAAAAATCTCAGTAATTTTGAGATTAATCTAGAAATTTTCTAAACAAAAAAAAAAGAAAAAAAAAAGGAAATTTCTGAGTTTGAAAAGTTTTTGGTTTGAAAAATTTTGTTGAAAAATCTTTCTGTGTTTTGAAAGTCATGAATTTGTGCGAAATTTTTTTTTTTTAGATTGGTCTCAAACCTTCTGAGATTTTTGGTGGAAATGCTCTTCTTGTCTGTTTTTCTGTGTCCGCTGACTAATCTGCACTGGTAGATTTACTCAGAGTAGACGTTGGTCTGAAGGTCGTCTCTTGTTCCGGCTCCAGGCAGGGCTTGGCCGGCTCCGTGAACGTGACGGGTGACGACGTGAAGAAGCTGGACGTCCTGTCCAACGACCTGGTCATCAACATGCTGCAGGCGTCCTACAGCACCTGCTGCATGGTGTCCGAGGAGAACAAGGAGCTCATCGTCACCCCCAAGGACAAACGGGTAACCAACGCTCTTAAAGGGCTAGCACACTTTTAAACTGCTGGGATTCCTGAAACTGCAAGTTTTTACAACATATTTAAACATGTAGGTAAATAGGTTAGGTTTTACCAATGATGAGAAATTTATGCTGCGTTCCACTGAAACATTGTTTTCATAAGTGAATATTGTTTTTTTATTTTAGAGCTGCAGACGATAATGGTGTATTAGGGCCAATTTACATGAAAAAAATTAGGAGTAAATTTCTGCAAACAAACAAACAAACAAACAAACAAAAAACTCAGAAGTTTCTGAGATTAATCTGAAAAATCTAATAGAAAAATAATAAAATTTTCAGCTTGAAAAGTTGAAAATTTGCCAGAAAACAAAATTTGAAATTCTGAGGTTGGTCTTCAAATTTTTTTCTAAAAAAATTAGAAAATTCTAAATTTCAAAAGTTGGAATTTGCAAGAAAACAATCTGAAATTTTGAGATTAATCTCAGAAATTTTCTAGAAAAATAGCATGAAAATTTAGGAGTTTGAAGATCTACAGAAAATTTCAAAGAAAAGAATCAAGGAAATTTCTGAGTTTCAAAAGTTGAAAATGCTAGAAAAAATGAGGACATTCTGAGATTAATCTCAGAAAATTTTGTAGAAAAACAGCAGAGAATTTTTAGAAAATTTTGATTTGTTGGCAGAAATGTACTCCTTGTTTTTAGTGATGGTATCTATATTCAAGCTTGAAGGCTTATTTTCAGCTGGAAGGCGAGGCTGGTGATTGGCTGGTCCTTCCAGGTGCCATTCTTCACCTTTGGTCACGAGTTTCGGATCATGACCACCAGAACTATACCAGCGTCTGAAACGAGCTGAGACTGAGCGATAAGCATCACTGCAGTTTATCCTGGATTGACGGATTTCTCTCAGCATCGTCTGAAGATAAAACTGTTTTGTTCATGTGAACTCAGGGGAAGTACGTGGTCTGCTTTGACCCTCTGGACGGCTCCAGTAACATCGACTGCCTGGCCTCCATTGGCACCATATTCGCCATCTACAAAAGGGTGAGTCTCACTGCCAAAACTACAAATCTGTCTGTCCATCGCAAACTGATTCACTTTAAAAATAACTGCAGTAACACGCTGCAGCCACAAGAGGGCGGTGTTTAATTAATCTGAAGTTAGGCGAAATATTTTAACCTGACAATCACTGCAGAAGAACTGAGTAAATATGTAAAAACTAAACAAAATACTGGGGTTTTTAAATAATTATTGATGCTCTTTTTATATTTTAGATTAAATAAATGGGTCAAAGTAAAAAAAAAAAAGAAAAACAACTCAGATTAATGCTGTTCATTTGATAAAAGTATAAACTTTTAACAGGGGAAATATTCCAAGTTTATGTATTATTTTCTGCTCCTTTACATTGTTGAGTTTATTAAAAATAAACTCATTTGTTCATGTAACAAATGTAAAATTTGTTACATGAACAATTCATACATATTACTGCTTGAGTGAAATAAAAAAAATAAAATGAGATGAAAATGAAAATAAGTTTGAAAAGTTTGTTTATTGTACCAAATACATTAAAACACACTAATAAGTAATTATTTTTTTAAATAAGAAAGTAAACATTTTACAGTCTAAAATGCAGCAGCACAGGA